TGATTTGGTGTTGACAGATGTGACAGTTCGCAATGTGCCGATCACTTAGTGTGTTGAAATGTATGATATTGTAAATATTCTTGTTTGCGAAAATGTTTTAAAAAAATAAATATTGAAAAACATAAAAGAAAAACAATCCAAAATCAATAGAATAAATCGAAATCACATTGAATTTGGAAACAATTGCGTGGAACCCAAACGGTTTGCGCGCGTTCAAATTATGACATTTCATAAAGTTTCGTCACACACAACATTCGGTAATTTTAAATTCACTGGAAAAACCTCTAATGGAGCATTCAAAGAGTGGCGAAACACACTCAATTGCAATTTAACACTGTCATTGATGCAATTTATCGTGTGAATTTTTCGTTAAACTGAACAGAAATAAAAGCGACAAATGATCAAAAATTGACACAGAAATGGCTCATTTAATTTTGATCCTCAAATTTCGAAAATGATCCGAAAAATATTTAAAATGATCAGAAACTTTTTTTACAAATTTGATCCGAAAAATTTGCAAAGTATCCGAAAAATATTCAAAATAATCAGAAACTTTTTTTATTAGTTTGATCAGAAAAAAACCTAATAAGGTAATGTTTCCTTGGACGGACCACACTTTGAAATTAGTTTGTATCTTCATTTGGTGAAAATATTATTGATAGTGTGGGGTACCGTTGGAAAGAGGATGAGCAAAGGAATCTTTTTGCCGAAGACAGTCCATCGATATCGTTTCAAAAAAAAATTTTATCGCAAAATTTCCGACCACATGATTTTTCGGAAAAAAAAACTTTTGTGTCCTTAGACGGACCACTTGGAAAAACTTGAAAATATGAGTGAAAATGAAGAAATAACATCAGATTTTGGATATTTATTGAACGTTTATTCATTATTCTTTCATTTAATCGACTTTAGGATACATTAGGAGAAACAGCACTTTTTGGCATATTCAACCAATTGATTTTCTTCTTCAGGTGTGAAAATCTACGAAAAAAATAACAAAGCTGTAAAAAATGGTACACCTTTTCTGTATATTTTCTAATAAAATCAAAATACCATGCGATGTGCTCCGAGCGGTTCGTTCTTCCGAACCAATCCATTGAGTTCAGCGTCAGTAAGTTTGGTAATGTCTTTGTTTTCTTCATCAAACTTCTTTATGTATCGTATCAAGGTGGTTTTGGAAAAACCAAATTCTGCTGAGACGACACGCAATGATTTCTTGTTGATTTTAACTGCTTTCAATGCCTCCACTACAGCCTCATAGTCGATAGTTGTTTTTACTGGTGCTTTTGGCCGTTTTTCAGGTGTTTTGCTCGTACTTGCTGACATTTTCAAAACAAAACTGTATGAGAATTCAAAAAAAATCAATTAAAACACATTCCCATCAAATATAATGCCTATTCCGAACATAAAATCACTCAAAATGGCGTATACACACTGGTCCATCTAAGGACACAAAACTGGTCCGTCTAAGGAAATGACGGCCATCTTGGCCATGTGGCAAAAAAATTTTTTATCACGCAATATCGATGGATTTATGTACGGATATTGAAAGTAAACTAAATTTACTTACTTTTGAGTGTATTCAACTTAAAAAAATGTTCACAAATTTTCAAACTATGAGCGTACACAAAATGTTTAAAAAAGTTTTGAAAACTCAAAATTTCACGAAATATTGATTTCAACACGAAAAATGCGTCTGTACTCGTCGGAATACGACCAAAAGTGTGCTCTCAGTGTGCTAATCTTTTGGTATAAGTGACGTTTCGATTTGACATTCAGATGTCAAAAATTTATGAGTGGTCCTTCTAAGGAGCCGGTCCGTCTAAGGAAACATTACCTTATGATTAGAAAAAATTCGAAATTAGCCGAAAAATATCTAAAATGATCAGAAATGCACTTTTCAAAATTGATCAGAAAAAAAACTACAATGAACAGAACTATATTTAAAAATATCCGAAATCGTTTCATAAACGGATCAGAAAAAATGGGTATTCTCCAGAAAAATATACCAAATATACCATGGAAATAAAATTTATTAACCCTTTAATGCATACAACCGCCTCTAGAAGGGCAACATTTGAAAGCACGTCGAACGTAAACCATACATCGGATCACATTGCTTTATGGGGAATTTTTATTCGTCAATGTTCTCTCTTTATTTTTGTCTTTGGCAATATTTGTCTATGTATTGTGATTGTAAAATTATGAACAAAAATGTGGGCAAAAACAAAAATTTGACAAAATAAATTATTCGAACTCCAAATTAGACACATTTTTGACACTTCTAAACAATGGATTTGATTGTTCTCTGATTTATGTCAATCGCATTTCCTGACTGAACCATGAGGCATCCAGGATTATGAATATTTTTTTAATTATCTATTACCGATTTATTTACATTGTACTGTTTGTGCGATGAAATATGCATGCGTGTGTGAAGATAATTTATTAAAAGGAGACTTTTCGGTATTCAAATTTGTAAAAAAAGTTTCTGATCATTTTAAATATTTTTCGGATCATTTTCGAAATTTGAGGATCAAAATTAAATGAGCCATTTCTGTGTCAATTTTTGATTATTTGTCGCTTTTATTTCTGTTCAGTTTAACGAAAAAATCAGAAATAAATGTAACAAAACAATCAATAAAATTAACATTACGTTCAATGAATTTGCCAGATTGAGAAAATAACTTTGACAATATAGGCAATAGAATTGCCAAATTGGAAAACTAATCTGACAAAATGGGTATAAAATTGACATTTTTTGCAATAAATTTGACAATAACAAGCACCAAATAGATAAATTTACGTCAAATTTATTGCAAAAAATGTCAATTTTATAACCATTTTGTCAGATTTATTTTCTAATTTGACAATTCTATTGCCTATATTGTCAAAATTATTTTCTCAATCTGGCAATTTCATTGAACGTAATGTTAGTTTTATGGTTTGTTTTGTTAAATTTATTTCGATTTGTTGTCAATTTTGTTGAATTTTTTTGTCAATTTTATTGCCGTTTTGTCATTTTTATTGGCGATTTGTAAATTTTAAAGGAGGTTTTGTATTTAATCTTTATTTATTCGAAATATTCGAAAATATGTCATACAATTGATATTTATTTCAAATATCTCAAATATCTCACATGATTCAGGAGCGTGATATTCCCGTAGATTAAATCAATTTTAATTGATTTAAGCATTCTGGAAAGCAAAGTTAAAGAATACTAAAATTTTCGTATAGTTTATTACAATTTTCGTATGTTTTAGGACGATTTTAGTTTTATCCTCAAAAATCATCACTTCGAATATTCCCAGAAAGTCTCACTTGCATTTTTTTAATACTTCTGAAAAATTGAAAACTCCCCCGAAAAAAATTTCTAGTTACGCCACAGTGCCTATATTCCACTCCGTTGAATATATGTACAAAACGCCGTACTTTTTACGTAAATCTCATTCAATAAATGGAAGCCATAACCTTCAGATTTAGCTTCCAGATGGGGTTTGAGTGTATTTACCGTTGTTTTGGGTGTTGTTAACAGGAAATAATCATATTGGTAGTAGCACAAAAACTACAATTCATATGTGAACGTAGTTGGTATTGATCCAATTCACCTTCCGTCCCCTTTCCCATCCTACTTTGTCTCAACTACGTCACTGACTACTTTATAGATTGTAATTGAATGTAGAGCATGCATAACGCGCGTTTAGCAATTCATTTATGAAGCAAATGCGTTAGTTATGACGCACTGAAAGTATTTATTTCTATCATCTATTTGAATTTCGAACCATTTTCAAATTTAAGAGTAAGGAAATGTGTTGAAATTTTAGAGTTCTACAAGAAAAAAAAACATTTACTCCAATACATTTGTTTACTTTTCGTTTCTAATAATAATTGAAAAGCCTGTTGTATGTCTCAAATTTGAAGGACAGAGTAAACAGCAAACGATATAGGAATACAGTGATAACAATCATCTTTCGACCATTTCTTTTCGTTAAAACTTTTCGCATTAATCGATCACTTTTGCATGTCATACAGAAATATTGCGGAATCCCAAGCAGACAACGTATGAACGCCTAGACACTCCTAGATTAATGTTCTAAAATGCTCTTGGTACACGACTGTCTGAATTGGATAACTGGCTGAAATACGTAACCATTTTTATTTTTGGCGTTCGTGTTGCCATTGACATCAGCTGGGAAGATGTTTGAAATAAGAGAATAACTCGTTATTTTTGCCTCAAGTCAAAATTGTAATGTCAAATGATATTCGTTTTTTCTACTTTTCATCAGGTATATGACATATTAGTAGTAAACAAAGATTTCGTCGGCGATGGACCAAACTCCTTAACGCTTCGACGAGGTGATCTAGTTGAAGTGCTCGATATGACATCAAATAGACAGTCTGGACCCGGAGACGATGAAAATGACAAGTGAGTAGAAGTTTTTCATTCACAAAATCATTCAACTTATAATCCAATAAACTTTATATATTAGTGTGTCAAAAAATAACCAAATCATAACATATGAGCCGCTAAATAGTCAAAGTAGACCGCGAAAAAATATCTCTGTACGTCAGGGCATTAACTCAAACAAAGGAATTGAAAATGTGCCAAAATGCGAACTAACAACACAAATGCTCACCAATACTACCACAATCAACAGTCCCAATCGATCCGATTCATATTCACTAAAGCTAACCAAATTTCCCAGACGCAACAACAAAAACATCACACACAACAATGAAATGTACGTTATCCCTAACTGTTTCTATATTTGGAAGGATTGAATGCAAGTGCCAAAGATCTTCTTTGATTTATTTTATTTTTAATATTCACTTACATATTAATCACTGGCAATGATGTTATTTCAAACTCCAAATATACGTTATTTACAAAAAAATTCAAAAACGAAAATGAATAAGACACAAAATTTACGCGATTTCTTCTTTCAAATTTCTTTAGCATGATACAATTGCTTGAAAACTGTTTAAATTGAGAAAAAAAACACAATTTTTGTCATTTAAACAAAAATTTTGTAATGTTGTCCCATTTGCAAGAAAGTGTGATTTCTCGCTCGATTTACGCAGTTTTTTCCCCAGCCAATGACGAAGATACTTAAATGTTCTTGATCGCGTAATGAAATCGATTTTCTTGATCGCGTATTTCAATCTAGCGATCGTTTGCATTTATCAATTGATAGATATTTAGAAGCATTGGTGCGTAGCCAACGTTAAAATGTCGGCTAAGCTTCGGATTGATTTCCCAAGTAAATGCAAATGAAAGTGAATTCAGTCTTAACATTGGCGAGTTCATGTATAAACACATATGACATCAGCCGAAAGCACTCGATCGAATAACATTTTAGTGCATACAAACGCAGGCAATGAATGTCTATAATTTTCACACGTCATTTCATTTTATTGTTATTCAACATTTAATGGCGGCTCTAATTTTAATTTTGCAGTTGCTTTCGCTTTTCTTTAACTAACACTTTATGACCGTCGGAATTTGTCATTTATTCTTGTTGTAATCGGTTTTCACACATATCTTTTAAATGAAAATGTTTATAAGTTCATCGTTTTCACTTGTTGTAATTGTAATAAGTGAAGCCGAAACTGAAAGTGACACTAGCCATTTATGCATAGTGAAAGCGACAACAACATTACATTTTATTACGAATGAATATTCAAAAGACCACACGTAAATTGAATTCATTTTAATTTTTTCAAATGGTAATTTCCCCCTAGGTGGATGGTTCGGGTTTTCGATAGTATTGAAACAACAAAAGAAGGATGGATACCGGCATCGATTTTGGAAACTGTCGATTCAGAACAGCAGACAGACAAAGCTATCTATGGTGATCGTGTCGATGACGCTGCCTACAGACGACAGTATACACCTCTTCTTATATTGAATATAACATTTGTATGATTTAATATTTGCGTTTTAATGCAGAGCCGTTGTGCGAGAGCTAATCGAGACGGAAGAAGAATTCGGACGAGATCTAACGCGCATCGTAGACAAGTACATCAAAACTGTGGAAAACAGTAAACCACCAAAAATTGTGTCAGACAATAAAGATCTTATTTTTGGAAACTTTAAGCAGATCACAGAGTTCCATAACACGTTAGTATGACAAGAGTTGTTTTAATTTATTTTAAACTATAACCACAATTGTCCTCAGAGTTCTTATCGAAGGTGTGAAATACCATGCGGATAAGCCCAGTATGATTGGAAAGACATTCCTGCGACTGGAGCGTGATTTTGATAAGCATGTCATTTACTGCCGCGATGAGCCAAACGCACAAGAGTTTTTGCATGAACGCAAGGATGTGCGAGAATATTTTCAGGTAACCAAAAAATCACAAAATGATTTAGACACTAATAATAATGATAATAATGAACCGACCGGTTTTTTTTCTGTTGGCGGTGCGTCACGTTTGTCGTTATGACATGGTGTCGCTATCTGTGGTAAGAACTTGGAAAATGACAGCAAACGACAAGCTTTTGTGCTTTCGAAAGTTTCTTAAAATAACAATAATAGATTAAAAATATGAGGAAATGTATAGTTGTTGTTTTTAATGCATTTCATTCTCCGACAGAGAACGTGCGGTTTTATCGGAATTTCACCCGATTCGCAATTTGTTTCTAAAAAATATTTTCGCTATTTTAAGTGCGTTCGACGTAAATTTGTAAAGAGGAAACAGACGATTGAATAAAAAAGAAATCACATTTAACGCACTGCAATGAACATTTATCCTATAAAATTGTGGGCTGAACAAATGCATTTAATACGTATTTTCGTTTCTTTTCATTATTTCGGACACGCACACACATACCATACATATTCGAAATAACAGCAACGAAATTTCATCTTGAAAAAGAGAAAGGACAAGATTTTTCCAATTTCATGCTAATATATTCCCAGTAGTTTTTCTTGTTGTGACAAAGTGGCAATTTTAAAAATGCATACCATCAAATAGATAACTTGGAAAACGTTAACCTGCTGATCCATTGACTCAGTATATTAAATTGAGACCGATTTTATATTTAGATCGAAAAATAAATATACATACAAAAAAAGAATCTATTTTGACAACTCGCTGAACAAATACTCCTGTATCTGCAGAAGCGAAAGCGCTACATTCAACTCCATCCATATGAATCAAGGCAACAAATTTCGATCAAGCTAGAATAGCTACACTGTTGCCATGTATATGTGTTTGATTTTCTTAGTTTTGCTCTGAAACAACGAAAACAAGAAGAAAAAATAATCTACATGTGGGACAATCTAGAATTTGTTCATTTCCATTTCTCAATCTAAAAATATCACAAAATCGTTTCTGTTCCTTCAACAGATTTGTAGGCAATTGTTTGGGTCGACAGAAGACGCACACAAATCAAATCTAGCTACATCAGCAAATAGGTTTTTTAGTTAATCAGTGTTCAATGCATGACATTCAATAATCACATTCACTTGAGCATTGTCGAATAGACACATGAAATGACATGTAGATGATTCAATCTGAAGATAAATAATATCTATCCGTGCCATAGGTCGTAAAAATATCTGTTAGCGCTTACAATTTGATATCCAAACGAAATGATAGAAATTCAAATCACAATGTGAATATTGTAATAATGATACATTTTGAACTTCTAGCACACATATCGTAAAATTCGCTTATCTTTCAAATCGACAGATATCATTAATGCCAGTCTGTTTTTCGGTGGTTTCCTATGTAATTGGCACGTAGCCAGAATCTTTGGTAGAAAAACAAGAGTAATGTGTGACGTTGTTTGTGCAACCACCTATCCAATGTGCTTCAATTTACACTGAATGTGTAGCTGGGATTAAATTGGGATTGCAGAAATTAGTATGGTAAACGCTTATAACACAAAATGGCAAAGGCGGTGAAGTACCATTTATGTGACCGAGCACCATTTATGTGACATGGATTTCGGTGGTTGGTTGTTCCTGTATTCTCAGCCACACAAACGTTTCAATGTTTTCTTGTTATTCAGTTATTTACTCTGGACAAATATTTGGAGATTTTTTGCCGATAATTTATTATTTATTTATCTCGATGGTTCGTATGTATTCCACAATAATATTTTTGGTGTATAGTGGGGCTATTTTTGAAGTACGTAACGTAGTTTGTTCCCTCTAGTTCGGAAATCAATAACATTTCTTCTTTTATTTTGATGTTTTCAACATAAACAAAACTGGAATTAGTAGAAAACCCATAGCGTTAAGCGTTTATTGCATCATTCATGAAGGAAATGATTTTCGTTAGTTTTTGAAAATTAAAAAAAGATACATTTGAAAATAAAGCAGGACGGATTTCAAATGCGTTGAGGAGTTGAGAAGATGGTGCATTTTGAAGTTTTTTTATAAAAAGAAAATAAACGAACAAATCAAATGAACAGAGTATTTGGTTGGAAATTCATTAATTTCATCGATACACTTGCAAATTTGTGTCTCTCGATTTCGTTCGAAAATTTGCTGTGATGATTTAGTAGCATAGAAATTCAGTGTCTCGAAGCGCAAGCAAAAAATAAGCTGTGACTAAAACTGAATCAACTCACATACGCACGAACCAAGATACGGGCGTACGCAAAACATGGCCTGTTGGCTGAGCTAAATTGATTGAAAAAGTATACGTGTATTATATCGTTTGCAAAGCAAAAATATTTAAATTTAGATTGTGGGCTTTGCGCCTGAAACTTGCTCATACATTGTCATATTGACTAGTCTAGTCGTTGCTGACTTCTCCCAGTGGAAAGATCGTGCACAGTATAACAACAAGATCAACCACTCTCGAATAATCAATAAAAGATTTCGGTGGCACGCGTGTGTACTATTGTGTATGTGTGTTAATAACCAATAACGAAATTTTGAACAAAAAAAAATATATATAGTGCTTATAACGAAAACGAAAATCGAAAAAGATCGAAAACCAACAATTGCATTTGCAATAGAGAAAAAAAAGGAAGAAAAGAATTGTGAAACGATATCACTAGGATTACCATTGATCATATTTGCATAACATCGATTCTCCATCGTATTCTCGCCTATTGACAAGGTATTTGCTTTATCAGTTAGTTGCATTGTCGGTTCGATTTGCAATTGAATGGGTTTATCATCCTCCAAAGTTTTAAATTGATAGTGCAATGTTGAAACAGTATTTGCATGCGATGACGAATAGAGAAGAGTATGTGACTACGACGATGATGAATGCGGGAATCGCCTACAGTTTTTCGCCTATTTATTGGCCATGTTCGTTAAAGTCGGTGATATAATAGTCTGTTTCGATAAAGGATCGCGTAACTCATACCATCAAATACACTCACATTGATTATGAGCTCGTATTAGCGCATGTGTGATTATAGTACATGGATGGTGGTTAGCGCATACAACGATCGATATTATTTCAACTATGGAATAGGGGGAGATAATTTTTAAGTCCTGTTTTCATTTGGCCTCTACGTTAAATTCGTTTATTTTTGAATTGAGTTTCGAGTTCGAGCAACAAAAACAAATCGAAACCATTTGGACGATTGCACACTGCAAAGAAATATTTCCACAAATATAATAATGTGTAGTTTTTGGGTGCGAATTCATGGTTTCATCATATGATCACCTTCAACTTATGATAAACACAGTGTCAATGTATTGCAAATCGGCAATGTATTTATGAATATGATTTTTTTTATGTTTCCAACTTTACCACATTTCATCGTTGAACCAATCGCTGTTTTCATAAGTCTAAAAATAAATTCCATTCAGCGCTCAAACTGAAACAAAATCAATGTTAATATTGATGAAAATGCTTTACGTTGATGTGTTCGTTCCCATTTGAATTCATGTGTGGATGTTCAATTTTAGGATCTTTCGCAAAAACTTGGTGACGAAAAAGGTTTATCTGAACATTTGCAATTGCCGATTCAACGTATCAACGATTATCAGCTTTTGCTCAAGGTCAGTTGATGTTTATATCTTTCAATAACTTTTTCTTCTCGGCATGTATTCATGACATCATGAAATATTTTGAAATCACAATATATTATTCATAGATATAATTTTATTTGAGCTTGATCTCTTTTTCTCACAATTCGGGACAACAATTTTTGCGAGTGTGAAAACATTTGTGCGGAGGTTGCTGCTTTGCAAATTCATCGGTACAACGAAATTCACACAAAAAAAAATTAAGGCACAAAAGCGAATCACAAAGATTGTTGTCCTTCCGCATTATCATTCAAATATTCAAAGCTTCAGCATTTTTAGACATGATTGATTCTCAGCTTTTAACCTTTTAAAAAACATAGAGCGCTCTATGACAAAAAAAAAACAAAATTACACTAATCATTACTCAGTCAAAGACCTTTCATCAACGTCTAATAGGGCATTATACGGGTAGCAAAAAGAATAGGATACATACATTTTATTATATCAATTATCAATTCTTTGTAAGATGGTATAAGAAACATACACACATACAAAATTTGTAGTTAAAAGCATGCGATAGAGCAAGAGAATAGTAGTCAGTATAGTAAGAAACACCAACATAAAAATCGAAACTAAAAAAACAAACATTCAGCATTTTGAGTCCATTAGAAAATATATTCCCATACAGATAGTAGTAGCGAATTGATCATTGTAATTTCGTTGTTCTTGAGGGATTATACATACATAAGTGTTTTCATTCAAAATCATTAAAAATTTCCATACAAGAAAATATAAGATACGGCGAGCTGATATGGAAAATAATACCATTTTATGTGTTGATACTTGTAAAATAAAGCCAAAACAAAAATGAAATGCGAACTATCTGTAACAGCTCACACTCAAATTATACACAACTCCATTGTCAATTATGTATTTAAAGTAGACGAAATTTGACTGTTATATTAATGTTGAATAACCAAAATTTTGTAGGAATTGGTGAAATATTCGCAACGTCTGGGCGAGAATGTCTCGGATTTGCAAAAAGCTCTAGAATTGATGCTAAGTGTTCCACATCGTGCTATCGATAACAAATTTTTAGCAAGTATCGAAGGTTTTCGAGGTATGTTGGGCACGAATTCAAATTCATCTTAGCCATATTAAACACGCTCATATCTATCACCCATTCATAAATCAATCAATCCGAAGTTCGTATATCAAAATCAATTCGTATTTCTGTACACTGTTTTTCTTCTTGTTCTTCTTCTTCTTCTTCTTCTTCTTCTTCTTCTTCGTCACTTGAAATCACGTGGGTGAATGATAAACGCATGTGAACGCGAAATGCCTTACATTTTTAGGCAACATACATAAATTAGGTCGTTTATTGGGCCACGAATGGTGGACTGTTACCGATAAGGATAAAAAGGCCAGAGAACGTTATCTATTTTTATTTAAATCAAGAATCTTAGTGTGTAAGGTTCGACGCATATCTGAGGATCGCTCTGTATTCATATTAAAGGATATTATCAAGGTATTGAATAAATTGTCTCCAATGCAAAAATAAAAGAGAAAACAACAATTGCATAATACGTAAGGAATATTACATTTTTGATTGAATTAGTTGCCCGAGTGTGAGCTCGTTTATCAAACGGATGGTGTGAGCTTAGAAATTATTGAAAAACCAAGTCATCCCAATATACGGTTTCCATTGACACTAACTGCAAATCATCCCGAATTGAAAGTGCGTTGGCTATCTGAAATCAACCAGTACGCAGCAGATCCATTGACATTGCATGAGCACAATGTTGATGACCTGCGCATAGACCCAACGCAAATAAAACCCGATTCAGAATACGAACACTTCCATTTACCGATCCGACGAAAGGCATCGTACGAATCGGATGGTATACGACCGTCCGAAGTAGCGAAAGATTATTTTTTGACCGAAGAAGAAAGGGCCTACTACGCAAAACAGCACGCCGAAGATCAAAAAATCTTACAACAACAACAAAAAGAGTTCGATCAACAGAAAAATTCAGGTATAACGCAATCACAAACGCAAACGCAGCGAAGTAACATTGCACACATACAAACACAAAGTCAAACGCAGCAGAGTAATTTTGAAGTTATATCATCATCATCATTATTATCAGAGGAAAAGGGCAAGGCTCAAACTGAAACCGTCACACAGATCAAGGCGGTTGAACAAAAACATACGAAACTGAGTCGAAGTGCTGCAATTGAACAAACAACCGTCGAATGTAAGTCACAAGTAGAATCTGTAAGCGCAAAAACTGCCATCGCTAAGAAAACTCTTACTGAGCAAAAAGTGAACATAGCCGTTGCTGAAGATTCTAAGCGAATAGATTCCACCGAAGTAAAGAAGAAAGAACAAGAAGAACAACAACAGAAACGACAGCAGCAGCAGCAGCAGCAGCAGCAGCAGCAGCAAAAACAAGAAGAAATCAAAATAACAGAGAAGGTTGAAAATTGCGTTCAAAGTATACAGGAAGCAGGTAAACCGAACAACGTTACCGTTTCTGAAATATTAGCCGTTGGTAGTGAAGATAGCGTAAATCGAAATAATCAAGTGAAATTCGATGTTGATGATAAGAATTTAACTATTACTTTGATTGATAATAATAATACTGTAGAGCCTATTGTAACAATGCACGCCGGCGACAATACAGCAGTAAACGCTTTAAATATGCTTACTAAACAGATGCCAGCTGATAATCCACAAGATGCTGCCACTAACACTAACACTAACAATGCTAGTCGAAATGAGAATGTCACATCAACGCCAAATAATCAAATTGCTTTGAATAACCAAGCACCACTTCATCGCTTGCAAACCATTTCGTTATTCAATTTTGGCGATAGGCCAGGCGCACCTGGACAGCCGCCAGTACCGAATTTACCAGATTTTCTTGTGCCGCCCCATTTAATTACATATGAAACATCAATTGAAATTAACTTTCGAAAAATACCACCGCCACAACCGCCGCCACCGCCAAAATTCATTAAAAAAATGCTTGTGCACACGGAGAGCTTAGAACGTCGTACACGTGCTTTCCTCACCGGAAACTTCGAAGTTGGCACAACCGATAATTCGCTTCGTACTGCACGCCAGAAAATTCGCTCGCTTAAATCCACCATATTGAAGTCTGATGATGAAGTTAAGCATGCCGAAGATACCATAACCAAAGCACAATCTGGCGACTTCATCAATATCTTTGCTCCCCCAATTGTAGAACCACCGCTCTACGAATTTATTGAAGTGCCGTCGTCACAACGATCAGAGGATGAATGTTCGGAAAATTTAGATCGTCGCAGTGAACGGGGTCAATCAGTCCAACAACAGGAATTAGAAAACATGGAAGATTATTATTCATCAAAATATTCATCACGCTCATCTCGGCGCCGAGTTGAAGGTAATTGGATTGAAATGTTCAAATGTTCACTTCTATTTTCGTATCAAGCGCCGCATGATTGACAATACATTGCAAGTTAATGGTCTCAATCGCCATTCTGACAACCGGAAAAATACAAGGAAATAATTGAAACATTACGAAGACAAAATCTGTTCGAGGAAAATTTAATTAAGTGAGATAGTTTTTTGTCAAATGAAAAATTATTCTCATGCGATATTTCAAGCTCTTGAACGAGAACGGATTGATGCGCACTATTCATACCGATATGGTGGTTTAGACCATTAATGCATTTGGTCAATTGCTGTTGTACTTTATATGGTTGATGGTAGCTCATAGACGAGCTTTTTTTCCCTGCTCTTACGTTTGCATTTCTATGTTATTGTTGCTTCTTTTTTGTTTTAAAATTTTGTAAAATACACTCTGAAAACATACACATACACACATCCATACACGCACACACACACACACACACACACATAAACCAAAATACACGATTGAATCACACACCGAATACAGTCAGTGACGGTGGAAAGTGTGACGTGGGCGGTTCAGCCGTTGAAACAAGTAGTTATGGAACGACAAGACATAGTCGCTACTCATCATCACGCACTGAAGAACGAATCTCATCGAATGGCAATTTGAATGCGGTCACATCATCCACCAGTGGCACTAGCTACTTTGCTATCACCGGAGAAGACGGTGTCGGCAAGCCGACCATAAAGAAAACGTGCAAAGGCGTCACTATCGAACGTAAGTGTACACATTGAAATCACCAATGGATCAAACATACTGCGAAGACAAAACATTGTCGCATCATCATTTCTGCATGATCGCTGTTGTAGACATTGTACGAAAGAAAAATGATACATTTAAGAGCAATTTACTGAGAGCACTGCGGCTTATTTTTTCGCAGATCATTATGAATGCCTGCAACGTTGTGCATGCTCAATGCTAGCTTAATTGTAGTTATTTATTTCATAATGGTAGTAGTAGTATTATGGTAGTAGTAGTAGTAGTAGTATATGTATGCACCGTAGTATATGTTTAGATTTTGTTGCCCAATGTTTCGAACATCGTACGAACTACTGTAGCATATAACACAAATATCATTGAATTTTTAGCTGGTAGCAATGCGTCATTTGAAATTCAATTGGGAGATAAGGCAGGAAACATCACGTGGCTTAAGGACAATAAGCCACTTGACGATCGTTTAGCTGACCGTATTACAACATCTGAACTACCCGGAAATTATTATTGTCTGGAGATCAAACATTGCTGGTTAGAACAAAACTGGACAATCACATGTTGAAATCATTTATTTAAATAATGTTTTATCCAATTTATAGTGAAGTGGATAGTGGATTGTATACAGCAAAGGCAAGCAATGGCGCAGATTCATCGACTTGCTCAGCACAATTGATTGTTCGTGAAAGTAAGTGTAACTAGTTGATATAAATGACAAATAAAATTGAGATTTGGTTTATTCATTTTTTTTTTAAATTTCAATTGTTAATTTTTAGAAAGTGAAGAAGAGAAGAAGAGTCTTATTGAGCAAAACATACCATACTTTGCCATTCGTCTCACTGATACCGAGGTCATGAAGGATACATTTTTACGATTCATGGTAAAAGTACTTGGCGAACCCAGACCAAAAATACAGTTGTGAGTATATTTCTTTTTCGCTGATCATTTCTGTTGTCTGTCCTTAGATTTTCTTCTATCAATTTGTCCATTTCTCCCCAACATACAGTTTCAAAGGCGAAAATTTGATCGAGGTAAATGATTCGCATATTCAAATCAATAGCGAAAAGGATTACTTAGGCTTCTATGAGCTAATTATCCCTGAGGTGAAGTACTCAGACGCAGGCAAATTCGCGTGTACAGCCACCAACAAATATGGAAGCGCTAACTGCGCAGCTACGGTTACCGTTGTTGAAGACAAAAATGTTTTCGGTGAGAATTTCGGAAAGATTTTGCCAGCCGGTGAGCAGCCCATTTTCAAATGGAAACGAAATGGTATTGACTTTGATCCCGAGGAACGGTTCAAAGTCCTATTGGGCGACGATGAGGACTCACTTGCTTTGCTCTTCCAACATGTTAAACCGGAGGATGCTGGTATTTACACATGTTGCGCACAAACATCAACTGGTAATATTTCTTGCAGTGCCGAGCTAACCGTGCAAGGAGCTGTTCAACAGTTGATACGTGAACCAGAAAAACCTCAGCTAATCATTGAGCACAAAGAGGCTTCGGCTTCCATTGGTGCTACTGCAATGATCGAATTGCAGTACAAAGGTTATCCAAAACCGACCATCGAATGGAAACATGATGGTGAAGTGATCGAAGCGGGTGGAAAATACAAGTTTTTGCACGAAGATGCCGAAACTATGTCGCTTGTCATTAAAAGCGTTCAAGCAGAAGATGCCGGCTTCTACACGGTATCGGCAGTCAATGAGCTTGGCGAAGATTTGGGAGTTATAAATTTGCAAGTGAAAAGTGGTCCCATTTTACAAAAGCTAGATGATTTTACCTGCAATGCTGGAGATCGTCTCGTTATGGAAATAGAAGTATCAGGAAATCCAACGCCTACTATTAAAATTCTACACAATGGCAAGGAGCTCACCGAAACCGAACGTATCATTGTCAAGCATAGCGATGAAATAAACCAGCAAACTGTTTATACGGTAGAATTCAAGCGAACCGAGTTATCGGATGCTGGTGCATATACAATTATTGCCACCAATGAAATCAATACCACTTCTGAATACTTCAATCTAACCGTGTTATCACCACCAACAGTGGTTAGGAAACTCGAACGTGAATACATTCACGGTGAAAAAGAAGAAATCATTATGTCATTTAGAGCCAATGCGTACCCTGAACCAGAAGTTAAGTGGCTTAAAGACGGCCAAGAAATCAATGAGAAAAATGATGCACGCATTCGTTTTGAACGAGATGGTAATGCCTATTTCATGATTATCACGGGAGCTGTTCGCACCGATGCATCATCATACGGTGCGAAATTGAAGAATGCACACGGTGAAATCACTGAAGATACCAGAGTCCGAATCAAGTGCTCACCCGATTTCAAGACTAAATTAAAAAGCATCACCGTTACCGAGGGCGACACAAATGTTGAACTATGTGTTGCTGTGCAAGGCTATCCAAAGTAAGTATCCATTCAAGCAAATAGAAACAGATTCGGTGAGCCGCACTACAAATAAATATATGTTTGATTCAATTACAGACCAGCTATTAAATGGTTCCTGGACGGAATGGAAATCAGTGAGAAGCGAACTGAATTCAGGCAAACTGATGATGGTGAAACGTATAAATTCTTGATGACCAATGTAACTACCGAAATGCATGGCAAATACAGTTGTGTGATTAAGAACGATTACGGCAAAATTGAAGACGAATGCACAGTCACCGTTAATTGTAAGTGTGCCAAAAAATGTCCATGCTTTGAATACGTTCATTGTTCTCATGCTGTATGATTTGTTTTTGTCCAAAGGTCAACCAAAGATCCGAAAATGCTTGACGGATATTGAAATTGCGGAAAAGGACACATTGTTGCTCGAAGTCGAGGTTTATGCTGTTCCCGAGCCAAAGATTGTCTGGTTCAGAGATGGACAAGAGTGTAAGGCCGATGCGAGAATCAAGATCCAACGTGACTCTCAACGCTCAGAAACATATAATCTGACATTGAATCTCATCAAACGTGAGGAGGCCGGTCTGTACGAAGTTAAGGCTACGAATCCATTGGGTACAGCTGTTTCAAAAAGCATTGTCACCGTTAACAGTAAGTACAACCTTTTATAATCGAACATATCGAGAATATTTGCCCAGTATTATTACAAACTCTTCAACGGCGGCCATATAAAATGTTCGACGTAGTAAGTTTTAAATGTTGTTTTGACTGTTAATGTTATAGTTATTCAATTCCGCATAACCTAAATTCCTTTCATGTTTTAATTGTTACATTTTATGCGTTTTGTTGTGTCGTCGAATATTCAAACATAATTACAAAATAAAGCTCGGGAAGTTTTTACAAAACCCCGTCCACAAGAAGTTACGGAAGACGAACAAGTCGATGCCAACATACTCGTCGAAAACGAAGTTGAAAAACCTAAGAAAGGAACAAGTGGTAAGTAGCACAAAGAACGTTAACATTTCAATAATGTACGGAATGCAATCATTTAGAAAACCACGGCTGCATTGAAACTACAAATTGGAAATGTGTCTGGGCTTGGTTTTCAATTCCCTTTATTCGAAATAGAATAAAGCTTAATGTTTAACATTTGCAATTTTATAAGGAAAACCATAGACTCACACGCATATAATCTTGTATTGAATACATACAAAATACGAAGTGTGAAGTTGTAGAGCGCCGTCGATAAATGACGGTAAAATTCAGCACGTGACTTCGCAACATTTCACAATATGTCGAAATCACTTACGGCTATTTACAGCTGATTTTGCCGTCAATTATGGATGGCGCTCTACAATTGTACAAATTCTGACAATAAGCGGGTGCATAGACTAGCTAAGTAAAACAAAAGATCTCCTGATCGATCACTCTGTCAATTGTACAAGTTCCAAATTATTGTTGATTTGAAATCTTAAGTAGTAGTTCCATTATGTATTGTCAGTTCTCCTTATAATTTTGTGTAAACCTATAGAGTAAAAAAAACCATTATATTTATGGTATAGATTCCTCCCACTAATTTGACATTGTTATTTTATTATGTTTTTACAATACGTTGTTCCTTGGAATTTGGGAAAACCAACGACCAAAATAATTCCAAAACTCAATCACATGGCACAACACGCACATTCACATTTTGCACCCACCTACCTACACCACCCAAACACAATTCATTTCATTTCCAATTGAATGAAATCAATGATAGAACTTGATACACGGGCACAATCGATTTGTACGAAAGTTGGCGCAAACGGTGAAACGGTTACCATATCCGTTAATACAGAAGAATCACACCAGTCAACACTATCAGGTATACATATTTTTCAACACATTCGTATCCACATATATAAATCACGCACGAAACAATAAATGAATATGAAAATTTTATAAAAGGAAAAAATTCAAAATGATGCCGAGATGGACCACCCAGTTGTATTTATGTAGAAATCAATCATTATAGTAAAAAGTATGCATTTTTGTAAACATTTGCAACATACATGTATATTATACATTGTATAAGTACATGCATATATAAACCGTACAACTGTATTGAGAAATTGCCGAAAAAAACGTTGCATTTACATTTTTTCGGCACTTCACTAATACGTTCGTATGTTTTTGTGTGCGGTTCAAATGTGTTTGTGTGATTATGTAAATTTTAATATTGATCCCATTTCACATTCACTCACTTTTATCCATCTCATCGGTTCAGTTGAGTTGGTTTTTCCTTTTCAAATAAAATTCACTATATTCACATTATTGTATGCACATGTACGCTACACGACATTCGAACGAAAATTCAAAAAAAAAAATCATTTGAAATTCATATTGATTGGTCAAAAAATATAGGCTCCGCGGAATCTCATTCGATTCATCAGCGTCGAGCGACAACGGTTATCTTAGAAGAAGATCAGGAAGCGATCAATATGAATATACCTATTTCTTCGCCAAAGATTGGTTTGCAAGTGGAAGAAATTGGTAGTTTTAAATTGGGATCAGAGGGGGAATCTTTTAGCTATCATGCAAATGACATCGATGAAATTCAAACTCACGCAATTATCGATGAATTTGATTCGGATACTGATGGTCCGGCCGCACATCATTCGCGAACAACATCAAGATGTATTTCGATTAATTCCGTTTCAGAAGACGACATTAGTTTGCCAACCGCATCGAAGTCATGTGAACTGTCGGTGAATAAATTCAAGAAGAATGTTCCGTTTGATGATGGCGTTGCCGAGATGACAGTCACTCGAATTGTTATGCAAGAGCAAGAGGTGATCACAGCCGAGGTAGGAGAGGCCGACGAAATTGAGTTGGACAAACCGAAAAAAGCATCAGAGTACGATGTGCAGCGTAAGATTGAGGAGAAAGCGAAAAAACTGTATGCCGAACTTGCAGATGACAAGGACGATGAAAAGAATCAACGTAAACTCGATCGTCAAAGCTCATTGAAAGGAGCGATTCTGTATGATATTGAAGAGAAGAATGAAAGCACAGACCTGTCGCCAGAGGATGCCAAAGCTCAACGCATCAAGGATATTCGAGCAAAGGCTCGTCGAGCTTCACTACAAAAACAAGAGCAAGATACTGATGAAATTCAAGCACAGCCCATAGAAGATGTAGAAGTTACGAAACCACGTTCAAAATCCTTCGATATAAATGCGAAACCACCGATCGCAAAACGGCTTAGTGTCGATAATACGGAGGAACCGAAAGATTTGTATACGGAAAATCTGCTCAAGCAAGCCCGACGTCAACGCAGCGTTCTGGATGAAATTGTCGATCAAAAAGAACGAAGCTTATCGCGCAGTAGAGAAACATCTCGTCAGCGAAGCGTTTTGAGTGAGAGAAGAGGTAGTGTTTCGCCGGAAGAAGAGCAGAAGCCCCAAAGTTTTGATTTACCCGAACATCGACCAAATTTCAAATCTGACATTGAAAATTGTACCGTAGTTGCGGGTCAGCCGGTTATTCTGGAGGCGAGAATAGAAAGTGACACAAAACCGAAAGTCCTCTGGTTCCAAGACGGACAACAAATTAGGCCAGATGGTATTCATGTGCGCAGTGAACAAACTCCCGATGGATCGGTAAAATTGCACATTGATTGCGCCGAGCCGGCTGATGGTGGGGAATACCAAGTCCTAGCAAGCAACAATTTTGGAGTGGCTGCATCGTGTGCTGAAGTGATCGTTAATGAGAAACGCGAGCCTCGTGAAAAACGACCAATTTTCATTGAATACATTGACAGCTGCCGTGCTGTAGAGGGCTACCCAATTAAGCTGGAGGCAAAGGTGGCAGCTTATCCAGAACCACAGATTCAGTGGTATCATGATGGTGAAAAAATCGAATCGGATCAGAATCATATAAAGATCGTTCAAAAACCAGACGGTTCTACCTCTTGTCTGATCGATAACGTCAAAATGGAAGATCGTGGTGAATACAAAGTAGTGGCAATCAATCCTGAAGGCAAGGCATTCACAAGTGGATATTTGGCTGTTTCATCACAAGCAACTGGCCGTGAGCCACGAAAAGAAAAACCCGATTTCATTCTTGATTTACACGATCACATTGTAAAAGAAGGCAGCCCATTGGCACTTAACGTAAAGGTTGCCTCTCATGCAGAACCCGAGATTAAGTGGCTGCACGACGGTGAACAAATTCGACCAGACAATGAACATATAAAAATTGTGCAAAAGTCCAATGGAAACGCTTCATTGGAAATCGATAAAGTCACACCAAAAGATAGCGGAGAGTACATTGTCATAGCTGCGAATGAATCCGGTGCATGCTCATCAAAAGCAACAGTAAAAGTTACACCAGAAGGCATTGAAATCGATGAACATATCGAAACGAAGCCAAGTTTCACCATCAAACTAGAAGATCAGGATGTTCCGAAAGGATCCGATTTGTCGATGGTAGCAAAGGTGGATGCACATCCCGAGCCAGAAGTGAAGTGGCTGCATGATGGACAGCCAATTCCAATGAGTAAACGCGTTGAAAAATCACAAGAAGAGGACGGAACTCTCAAATTAACCATAAACAATGTACAGGTCGAAGACAGCGGTGAATATGTAATAATAGCAAAGAACGAATTCGGGACCGCCTCTTCTGGGGCTAAAGTTAGCGTAGCAACACCTGAACCGATTGAATACGATAAAAAAGACATAGTGAGCGGAAAACCCGTTTTCGAAACTAAATTGGAAAACTTAGATGCCAAAGAAGGATCAACATTGGGTCTGGGAGTTAAATTGCAAACGTATCCCGGCGCAGACAACGACCTCAAATGGCTGCATGACGGTAAGGAAATCGATGCAGATGACAACGATCGCGTCACCATCACGAAAGGCGATGATGGCACTGTTGAATTGAAGATTCAAAATGTC